ATGTGGATTGTCAACCCAGATAACATGAGCTGCAGTGCAGGGGCCCTGGATGGTCCTGGCAGGACTGAGAGCCAGGGGACCCCTGCATGTCCTGCAGCCTGCTTGAAACCCCTGCAGTCAGTACTGCCCAGCCCTGGTGCCTCCAGAGGGAACAGCAAATTTCCTCCTAAAAATGCCTGCGCAGTCTGTTCAGTGAGGGAAAAGCATTTTGTTTTCTCTTCTTTAGCTTCCAGTATCCCTGCCTGGGGGAAGCCCTAGGAATGAAAGGTCTGGTGGTAATCCCTAGCAGAGTTTCAGGTCAGCATGTGGCTGGGAAGCAGACACAGAACCTTCCTCCTGGCCTGTGGGGGAGAGACAAACTGGCTCTGTGCTTGCTTTGTTGTGTCTGTCTGGCAGAGGTTGAGTGGAGGGGGCAGGGGTGCAGAAGGAATTGGGGAAGAGGAGTGTGGCCAGCAGCCTTGTGTAGTGATCAGACCCAGGTGGAAGGAGGGATGGAGATGTGAGGTAGGCTGCAGTTGGGAAAGGGCATTGAATGCAAGGCATTGGAGAGGAGAAGGTCAGCTCTGAGGTAACCCAGTGTGGGCTGAGAAACTGTTCTAGCCCAAGGAACACAAAAATTTTGGCAGAGAAATAGTGTTATGATGTGTTGGGACAGGAGAGACCTAGCTACCCCCAGCCACCTAGGCAGGCATCACTGTAGTGGAGCTTATGTGGAAGGGACAGCACTTTGCACTTGTGCAAATGACTGTGCAAAGCTCTGGGCAGCGGAGAAATGAGATTCAGGCCTTTGGTTGGGAAGGGATGCTGTTGTCTAGAGGGGCTGGCAGACATCTGGAAGCTAAGAGATGTCCTGTTCCAACCTTGGCTCCAGGTGACCCAGACTGTGGCTTGTAAAGTGATGGTGGTGAAGATCTACAAGAATGACGTGGACCAAGAGGTGATTGTGCGTGAGATCAGCCTGCTGCAGAAGCTGTCCCACCCCAACATTGTCAGGTGGGCACATCCTCTGGTCATGAGCAGTGGACACAGGCAGAGGCTGGAGTTGGCTTGGTGTCTCTAAGGCAGTTCATCAATGAGGGATTGAGCTGAATCTTGATCACTTCTTTTCTTTTTCTTTTTTTTGGTGTGTTTTTCTGTTTAGGTACCTTGGGATATGTGTGAAGGATGACAAGCTGTACCCCATTCTGGAGGTAAAGTTTTCTTGCTTGTAAGTGCGCTGTGGGCAGGCAAGGACCCTGCGGTTCTTTGGCAGGGAGGATGGCAGATATCCTGTAATGCATATCTATTGCTCTCCAACTCCTATGCCTGTGAATGTGTCTGGACTAGCAAGATTGCCTCGGAGGGGCTTCTGGTCCTTTCTGCCCCATAGCTGGTCACAGCTGGAGTGGAGCACAGTCACTGCAGAGCCATGAGATTCAAGCAGGATAGCCAAAAAGTGTTTCAGGTTGGCTTCATACCACCAAAGGGCCAGAATGGGCCAGCTGGCAGGGAGAAGAGGAGCCAGGGATGGAGGGCAGAATTAGAAAGTAAAGCAGATGAAGAGTGGCAGGACCTCCAGGATGGCTCTGGAATGGTGGTGTGGTCTAATGGAAAAGCCTGGGCTGGTGCCGGGGAAGTCTCAACTTGTTCCTATGCCGTTGGTCACAGAAGGTGTTCACTGAGCTGCTGCCAGGCTTTTTGCCTCAAGTTTGCCTCTGTGAGTGAGGACCATGTCTGGCTTATACAGCCATCCCTGCAGTGCAGCAGAGCCCAGAGACTAGCAGTGACCTGCTGTGCTGGGAGGAGTATTTGCACCATAACACACACAGGTGCCCCTGCGTGCAGTGACATTCCCAACCTCCATCCCAGAGGAGGGGGTCTGGGTTGGCGAGGGAGGATTCAGCACCTGGGAAGATCCAGGGGAGCCTGTGCCTGGATGCGTAACCACCGGTTTTTTGTCTCTGTTCACAGTATGTGAATGGAGGTTGCCTGGAGGAGCTCCTGGCCAGCAAAGACATTGCTTTGACTTGGAAGGAAAAAGTGGACCTAGCTTCTGACATCACCAGAGGCATGATCTACCTGCATTCCAAGAATATCTACCACCGAGATCTCAACTCCAAGGTACGTAGCTGGAAAGGGGATATCACCCCTGGACTGCTGAAGGCGACTGTGTAGGTGACCATACAGGGAGCCCTTAAAGCTGTAACCAGGAGGCCTCAGGCCTCATGCTGGTCCTCTGCTCCATGCTAATCCCTCTGCAGGCAAGGAAGTTTTCTTGATAAAACCTGTCATTGCATTGCATTCATCACTTGCCAAGCAGGAGACCCAGATAGAGATAAAAATATATTGCTCCTAGTGCTGTTGCTGTCAGAAAAGAAACCAGATGGAAATATGTTGAGGATTGCACATGGATTTCTTTGTCTGCAGTTGCAGGAAAAGCTCTGCCAGATTTAGAGATTTCCTTTCCTGCTCACAGCAAGGAGGAAGCTGTTGCTAACAGGAGTTGGTCATGGGCTCTGGCAGCGAGTGCCATGTGAGATGGTCCCTGTCTGTGTGCAGATCACCAGCAAAGCCCAGGAGATGTCTGTCTTCTCACTTATGTTCATGGAAATTGTTCTTCCTTGATTCAGGGGGGTCCATGTCACCAATTTTAGGATGGTCACCTCCCTGGCAGCATGCCAGCTGTGAAGACTAACATCTGGAGGCAAGCTTTGGGTGTAACGCATGTTCATCATGTTCCTGCTGTATTGACCCTCTGGCTGGGAGGCTGCTTTCCTCAGTGTGGACTCATTCTGCTTGATGGGAACAGGAACAGCACTGGGCCTTTGCCATTCTCGGGTTTGTCCATAGGGACAGGCTTTGATGTGGCTCTTCCTCTGCCACTGGTATGACAGTAGGAGCATGCTGGGGCAGAGCCTTGTTGATCTTTCTTGGGCAAAACTATCCAAACCTCAGGTGGATCTGCAGCGTGTCCATGATATCACGGACTGTGAGCTGAGGGGTTGACCACCAGCCTGGACCATATCTGTGTTAGCTGACTCCAGAGGCTTGGTGATACATGGAAATGGAGCCTGCAATTCCTTGCAGTTGATGCTGGATAGGTGATGGTGTATCTCTTACAAGCCTAGTCGTGCTCTGTGAGATTTTTAAGAGAATATTAATGAAGGTTGGCATCAAAGTGACTGGGGAAGCCAGTCAAGTGTTACAGTCTTGAGAGACATGAGCACAGCAATGAAACTTGCCTTTGTAATCTCAGGCTGTTTACTTGCCTCAGTTACTAATTGTGAAATCGCAAACAGCAAGCAAGGACAAGGCAAGAGTCTGGTTCACTCTGACCGCAAGTTTCTTGGCCAGTGTGAAGTCAGGTGAGAGGTAATTTCCTATTTGGTGGTGACTGATGAGCTCAAGAGCTTTCCAGATCTGCTTATGGAAAGTGCTGGAGGTCCCTACCTGTACATTCTGTCTCGCTGTGGTGGTTCAACCCTGAAAGAGGTTCATCCTTCCCCAGGGAAACCTAGGAAACCTGCAGTGATGATGGCTGAAGATAGGGGAGAGAAGTGTGTACGTGCTCACTTGAAATCTAGTTGTTAGTGAGAGCCATCTGGAGAAGATGACTGTTGTTTCTGCTAGTTCCCTGGGAGCAGATGCTGAAGAGGAAATCCTGGGGAACTGAATAGGCTGAAACTTCTGGGGTTTTGAGAAATCTTAAGATAATTTTATAGGAATTCCTCCAGAAAGCTGTGTTAGGGATGTGTAGCTGTGGGCAGGGAGAAGGGCTGTGGCTGTGATCCTGCCCGCCTTTGGCTGAACGGTGAACAAGGTCGACATGCACATTTCGAGGTCTCTCTCAGATAAAAGGATGTGGATCATCATATTTGTTGAACAGGTTCTTCAAATGACTTTTCCTGGCTTCAGATGTGATCAGTCCATTCCTAATCTACCTTCACACTCCGTGTGTGCTGCCAGGATGCAGGTCTCTGGTGAGGGGAGAGCCTATAATGACAACGTGGAGCTGAGGGCCAGCAAGGTGCTGTTCGGTGAAGTGTCCAGGCCCTTCCTCACTGGGCGTCTCATGTCATCTCATGGGCTCCTTTCAGAACTGCCTCATCCGAGTGACGTCGCGAGGCCGCGAGGCACTGGTGACTGACTTCGGGCTGGCCAGGGAGGTGGTGGAGCTGCCTGTGAAGGATGTGGAAAGGAAACTGTCTCTGGTGGGCTCTGCTTTCTGGATGGCTCCTGAGATGCTGCGGGGTGAGCCCTATGACCGGAAGGTATGGCACTGCTTCCCAGCTCCTTGTTCATCCTCAGAGCTCCCGAGCAAGTGTGGGAGTTGTCTCAGCTGCTTGCTGGTGACAAGTCCCAAGAGCAGAAAAGCCTTTCCCTCCTTCCTCGGGAAACATTACCCTGCTACCTGGACCTTTGGTCAGTAATGCTCTGCTTAGTAACTTGGAAATTCCTTATATGGCCTTGTTAAGTTAAACTTTTAGGGAAATGGATTGCTGCTGTGGACAAACACAGTGAAGCCTCTCTGAGGAAGATGTTAGATGAGTTACAGCCCAGTGAGCCTGCCGCAGGATCTGTGGCGGGTACCAGAGCTGTGGTAGAAGCAGCAGACACATTTAATGAGAACATGGGGCCAGGCTTCCTGAAGATGAGTCTGGACTCCAAGTGGGGCTGTGGTGTTTCTGGGTGGATTCAGAAGCCCAGAAGAAGTTTAGGGGCTTGCTGCCTCCATCACCCGTGGGTTTTTTTGATGAGCTTTTGCATAACTAATGGAAGGACCTTGTCATTGGTACTCCCCTTTCTCATACTTTGCTTCTGTGCATGCCCTGTCCCACCTCCTGCTCTCCCACCTCTCCTGCAGGTGGACGTGTTTTCCTTTGGCATTGTGCTCTGTGAAATCCTGGGCAGGATCCCAGCTGACCCCGAAGTGCTTCCCAGGACTCAGGTAATGATTCCTGCAGCCAAATCTAATGGTGTTTTCTCCATGGTACCAGATTGTGGCTTCTCTCTGGACCAGACCAAACTGTACACATGCGTTTGTGTTAACACTCAGGTTTCTCTCTAGAGGTTTTTCCATGAGAAAATCTGATTCAAAATTTTCAGTGCGCAAGAGTTCAATGCACCTATAGTTTCAAAACTTTTGTTAGATCAACAATTTGAGATGAAGTAATGCTGTTTAAAGACCTTAATTCCAAATACTTCATTTTGCTTTGACGTTTCAGCTTCTCCATTGAAGTGGCAGGTTAAACAACTTTCGTCACAAATGTTTATTTTTCAAATACATTGCAGTTAATAAAGAGTTCCTGTGGAAACAGTGGGCTTCCCTAAAAACAAGGCCCTTATTGTTTCAACATTTGCAACACTTCCCTTCCACAAAGTGGGAAGGGAAAATTTATCGTGACCAAGGGTGAAAAATCCAGCAGGAAAACAGCAAATTGCCTCAGTACCTTTGCATAGCCATCAGTAAAATAGCTGTGATGGAGACCCTAAAAGCTTTAAACCATGAGCATTTTGTGCTTTAACACCTTGAGAAGGATGAAGAGCTTTTAAAAGACTTTATAGCTGAAGTCTTTTCTATATACTTTTTCCCCTTTCTCACAGGATTATGGCTTGGATGTTGCTGCCTTCCAAGGGATGATCAGCGAATGCCCCAAGCGGGTGATGGACCTTGCTGCTAGCTGCTGTTGGGTGAGATTCTTGCTAGTTTTTTTTT